GTGCACTCGGTTATGAGAGAACCGAGTGTGGCGGTAACGCCCCAGTTTCCTTTTGAATTTTCCGCTGCATAATTCTGATAAATCATTATTTAAATGTATTTTTGGGTGGGAAATTTGGGGGTGTTACAGTAGCCTTCTCTTGCATAAGAAGCTACTGGGAGAAAACGGCAAAAAACATGAACCTTCGGCATTATCAAGCCCTCGGCATAAGAGAAGCCTTCGGCCGAACCTAGCCTTCAGTCACACGGGGCCTTCGGCTACACAGGGGGCCTCAGTCACACGGAGCCCTCGGCTACACAAGGAGCCTTCGGCCAACTGCTCAATCATCAAAGATTCCTTTTGGAGAGACAGCCAACCACCGCATTTAATGCCACGTCACATCCACCAACCGCATTCAATGCGGTGAACGTACCACTGCCGGTGCCACCCGGCTGATGTGACCCTTCGGCCGTTGGATTACTGACACGTGTACTTTCATCGCATTTATTGCTGCTATAAATAGCAGTCCATTTCTCCTTGTAAACGATCCCACATCTATCTCTTACACGCTGAGTTCATTTAATAAATCGACTCTCTCTCCTCCTATTTTGCTCTGACTTCTCTCTAGTTATTCCCGCAATAACCCCTCGGATAAGATACCCCCCGGGTAGACGGTCCATCACCTTCATTCTTTCAAGACTTCACACTTTAAATTCTTAGCGGTCAATAAATCATTCTCAACTTATGAATTCAAATAGTAATATTTATTTTCATTTATCTTTTCAATTGTAACTAAAAGAAGGTTTAGTGTAGTTATATGTGATAATTTTATTGTTTGTCATACTTATTAGTGGAAAGAAGATTGTCTGAGTTTTGCTTCACATTATTCTACGAGAAACGTTTTTAAGTAACTTTTTTCTTTTTATTCAATACTCGTGTTGTTACTTTTGCTTAACTATGTAACTTAAATAATAATAAAGTGATCCTTACCTTATTTTATGAACTTCGTTAGATGCTTTTATTATACTAGTAATTTATATGTAAAATAAGTATATGGTTTACAGTTTATCTTGAATGTAAGCCTGCATTAACGTATCGCTCATGTGCCCATAATTGGACAGGACCTGCCCTGCACATTTTAATTACGTTTGCGAATTGAACTAGTCAATCTGATTAAAAATAGTTAACTTCTTTGTAGCGGCAATAGAACGGGATATCAATAGTGACATAAATGGCCGGCAACCGTGGATGGGAGGGAGTTTATCATTGGCTGTTGAGAGGAAAAGTTCAAAAGTTAAAGCTGATTTTGATAGATGGGGAGTATTATGCAAAGAATTTGGCTTAGACGTTAGAGTTGATTTTGATAGAAAGGGAATACTAGTATTATATTTTGTAAAGAATTGGTCTTGAATAATATTGTGAAATTGTAAAACATAAACTATCACACTTTTATTTTCTAAGTAGGATTAATTAACGGGACTAGTACACACAAAAATATCCAACTTTTAGAAGTTGTGATTAAGTTGTTAAAAATTTCAATTAAACCGTCAAATGTACTCTTTCGCGATTCTATACTGATAAATTGATTTGAATTACAAATTAAATTGTAAATTCATACAACCCTAAGAGAATCGCGTAGAATGGTGTAAAGTTGTATAAAATTGTACAAAAATTGTAATAATGATTTTTAGTGAAAATAGTCCAAAATTGTCAAAATTAAGTATTAAAAATTGAGATATAATTTCAACAGTAATAATATAAAATATATAATTAATGAAAGTTATAAAAAGTTGTGTCATTTAATTAATTTTATGTTTTTACACGTTTAATGTTATCATTCACTATATCTAATAATATAAAATATTGTTTATAAATATTGTTTATGGCATTATATGTATAGTTTTAAGTAATGAGATGACAGAGTTTTATTAACTTGCAACTTTGCTTTAATATTTATTTATACTAAGATTATTAATGTACATAGTATACTTTGTAAAATCTTTTGATTTGGAATTCAGTTTTCAAAAGTTTCTATAGGTTTGATTCAAAAGTACGACTTCAACAATCCTGGTTGCGAAAAATTAGTATAGAGTACATAATTATTTAAAAGTAGTCACACTTCAATATTAAGGAGTGTTTGGATCTCATTCTTAAAACTGCTTCTTCAGATAGTAGAAGCAGAAGTTGGAGTGTTTGGATGAAAGTGCAGAAGTGATTCTAGTGCTCTGTTTTACTCCTAGAATCAGTTTTTTCAAAAGCTGGGGAAGACCAGCTTCTGAAAACTGAGGGGTGTTTGGAACTGATTCTGCTTCTGCTTCTTTTTTAAAGAAGAAGCGGAATAAGAATCAGTTTTCAGAAGCTGGTACCTACCAGTTTCTAAAAAAACTGATTCTGAGAGTAAATTAGAGCAAGTGTTTCTTGAATTTCACCCAAACACTCCAGCTTCTGCTTCTGCTCCCTGAAGTAGCAGAATCAGTTTTGAGAATCAAATCCAAACACCCCTTGATTCTGATTTTGCTTCTGCTTTAAAAAAGAAGTAGAAGAAGAATCAGTTCAAAAACACCCCTAAAGACAAAACAATGATAGTCTAATTCAATTCAGTTGAATAATATTCCTCTTACCACATGAGCAATAAAGTTCTATATTAAGAAAAAGTACGGAAGTTTACATGTGGTTGGACCTGTTTTTAGATAGGGTCGTGTATTTCATTTTTATCAAAGTGATTCACGGGCTTGAACTCCGTTATCACAACAGGATCGTTCTGGCGCCTGATGCTATTAGAAATTGTCAGAGGAAGTTGATGAACAATAATTCTAAGTTCAAAATTGCCCGGAAAATCTAATGAAAAATATTGGAAGGTACGCCTCAACAAGACGATCGTTGGGCCATCTTTCTTTTTTGTTTTCGGTCACCCATGTCACCGGAAAGTCCACCGGAAGACTGATATTAGCAAATTCTATTTAAAAATAATAATCCGAAAAGATCCGAAAAATCCAAAGATGAAGGTGGTTTGGATGTCATCTTGCCGAGACGCACTTTCAATATTTTTCTTTTAATTTTTCGGACACTTTTGAAAATTAGAATTACTATTCATCTTCTTCCTCGACATTTTTTATGGTGTCCGGCGCCACAACCCTCTTGTAATAATGTAGTTCAAACATATGAACCATTGTGAATAAAAAAACGCATGAACTCATTTGAATCCATCTAACCCCATTATATTGTAGAGTCCCTAAGTGGGTTGGGGCAATCTTGGAAGAGGAAGTTGGTTGGCTATTGAACGAAGGGAGAAGAGGGTTGATGGGAGTGCTGGACTGCTGGACCTCACTAACAAAAAGCAATGGGGACATGTAAAATATTACTACCTCCAATCCCGGTGGACTTTGCCAAATGCAAAGTAGACTTTGCTAAATACAAAGTAGACTTTGCCAAATACAAAGTAAGTGAGAAATAAAAATAGTAAAAACTATGTGGTTGAAATTTGTACAGAAGAGAGAGAAATGTGCAGAACCACAAATTAATTGCATTAATAGAAAGTGACAAAATTTTTTGGGACAACCAAAAAGAAAAGTTGACAAAGTTCAATAGGTAGGAGGGAGTACTACTAATTGGTAACTATTAAGAATGTTTATTTTATTTAAATTGTTTTCACTTCTATAAAATACACACAATTCAAATATTTATCAGATGAAATTGGATCCGACTAGATCAGACAAAAAAATCAATCTATTAAAATCTAATTAAAAATCAATCATATTAGATCAGATTTGAACATTTACCTATTTTAAGTTAAACTCGGTAGCTATTACTCCGTACTATCTTACCCGTCCGACCGAACCATATACTGTAGTACTACATATGTTCCATTTTATGTGTCCTACTTTGAGTTGAAATGATAATTAATGATGGAATTGAAAAAAATAAAAGTTGCGATTGAGATTTGAGTATAATAAAATGAAATATTGTACACCACATACAATATTTCTTTTCCAAAAGAGAAAATGAGGCATTTATTTTGGGACTATCCAAAATGAAAAAATAGGAAAGATAAAATGTGATGAATGGAGTACATATTAGTTCCTAAGGATGGCAATGGGGGTGGGGACCCGTGGGGAACCGCCCCGCGGGGGAAGGATGGGGTGGGGCTTGGGATAGGGCGGGGGCGGGGATGGGTGAAATATTTTTACGCCGTTAAAATATGGGGCGGGGTACGGGTATTGCTACACCCGTCCCTGTTATAAATATATACTCAAACATATATATACACATATATAAATAATGTACACACATATTAAATTAAATTTTTTGTAGTATATAACAAACGCATATACATATAGACATACATAATTGTATACGGTTTAATCATGGTTAAGGAATTAATACATATTATACTAGAATAACAATAAGCTAGTGATGATTAAAAATATTTATCATAAATGTTACTCCGTATAAAGTGAGTAAGTAAATTAAATACACACATTTATTTGTAATATAATATGTAATTAATTGTATTATAATTGTTGAGAATTTTGAAACAACGTACATGATGATAATATGTTTACTTATAGTTTTACTTTAATTATCTTCAATTCACAAAACTTATTCCAATTGAAGAATTATTAAAATTGGTGGTATTAACTTTTAACAAACGCAATATTTCATTGTTGCGTGCGTGTGTGTATCATATATCACTGTGTGCGCGTAGATATATATAGGCTTAGGATCAAATGAGAACAACGTTTAACATGAGAACGTACGAACACCGCATTTACCCCCAATGTGAAGCAGCTCACACAATGCATTTTTTGTATTTATTAACATAATATTTACAAAAGTTCCACCGTGATTATTTATACGGAGTATTAGTTTGTATTGAACGAAGTCCAAATGTGCACTAGAATAGCTCTATTCTGTATCACATTGGATTATTGTGTATCACATTGGATTAAATGTGAGTGTTCCTACGTTAAGCATCGTTTTCATTGGAATCGCACTACATATATTTATAATAAGAGATTAAAAGTATATGCAAATACGAATATACAATAATTAAATTTATATGCGGGCACCCATGGGCACCCGTGGGGGACAATGGGGTAGGGCGGGGATGGGGCGGGTCTGGGAGTAACGGGGATGGGATGGGGATGGGGGAACTTTTTAGACATGGGGCGGGGATGGGGAATGTACCCGCCCCAAACCCGCCTCATTGGCATCCCTATTAGTTCCTACTTCCTAGTGAATTTTGAAGTTTGATCAATCCCTCTAAACATTTATAATTTCGGGCCGAAATCTCTTCTCAAACACATTTTTCTTTACAATAATAGTGGATATAACAAGTTTATTTAAAAACAATTGAATCCTCGCGGAGATATGGCAAACGTCGAATTTGATGTGATAGTCATCGGAGCAGGAATAATGGGGAGCTGCGCGGCTTATCAAGCTGCCAAACGCGGCCTAAGGACTCTTCTCCTGGAGCAATTCGACTTCCTCCACCACCGCGGCTCCTCCCACGGCGAGTCCAGAACCACCCGCGCCACTTACCCGGAAGAATATTACACTAAAATGGTCTTAGCCGCCGAACCCCTCTGGCGCGAAGCCGAAGCCGAAATTGGCTACAGCGTCTGCTTCCGGACTCCACAGCTCGATATGGGCCCCGCCGACGACCAGACGCTGCAAGCCGTCGTCTCCTCCTGCCGGAGTACATCCGTTCCGGTCCGAGTTTTGGATCCAAAACAGGTCGATGAACATTTCGACGGCCGTTTTAAGTTGCCGGAGGATTGGATCGGCGTTGTGACTGAGTTCGGCGGCGTTATTAAGCCGACCAAAGCCGTTTCCATGTTCCAATCCCTGGCCGTTAAACACGGCGCGACTCTGAGAGACCACGTGGAAGTTAACGGCGTGGAGAGAGATGATCGGACGGGTGGAATCTCCGTCACCGCGAAAAGCGGAGATAAGTTCCTGGGCAAAAAATGCGTAGTCTCTGCCGGCGCGTGGGCGCAAACATTAGTGAAAACCGTTACCGACGGGCGCGTGGTGCTTCCGATTCAGCCGGTGGAGACGAGCGTTTCCTATTGGAGGATCAAATCCGGTCACGAAGAAGAGTTCACCATCGGATCCGGATTGCCGTCGTTCGCAAGCTACGGCTCCCCGTACGTGTACGGAACGCCGTCGTTTGAGTTCCCCGGACTGCTGAAGGTTGGTTGGCACGGCGGATGCGAATGTGAGCCGGAGCACCGCACCTTTGCGCCGTCGGCCGGTGCTTTGAGCTCACTGAAAGAGTGGATCGAGGGACGATTCGGGGGGAAGGTGGACTCGTCGGCGCCGGTAATGTCGCAGTCGTGTATGTATTCAATGACGCCGGACGAGGACTACGTAATTGACTTCCTGGGCGGGGAGTTCGGCAAGGATGTGGTGGTGGCCGGTGGGTTTTCCGGCCACGGGTTCAAAATGGGGCCGTTAATAGGCCAGATTTTGGCGGATCTTGCCTGGAATGGATCTTCGGATATCTCACCTGGTTTGGATCCTTTCAGGATTGATCGGTTTAAGGAAAATGGTAAGGGAAACTTGAAGGATTTTGACTTTTTTGACCATCAACTGAAGCTGTAATGCTTGAGTTTCCAATTGTGTTGAGAATAAACATATACTCCGTATGGAGTAATGTGTATTTAAGTGTAACGCATTTAATAAAATATTGTTATTTGTGTATTTTTTGTATTATAAAATACTTTTACGTAAATTGATTTGTTGTTACTAATGGCTTCAAATTAAAGCAACATTTCACCGCAAATGCTACTTAGGGCTTGTTTGCAATCGCTTATTTTAACTGATTGTGTCTTTTTTAAAGAAAAAATCACTTATTTTATCAAATACTATCAACTTTTACTTTTCTCGGCTTTCGTGTAGAATCTACTTTTTACTTTTTCTATTACACAAAAATCACTTATTTTACCAAACACCACCAACTTTTACTACTAATCACTTTTTTCTAAAAAGTGCTTTTATTTAAGTACAATCACTTGCAAACAGAGCCTTATAGAACATGAAGCAAAACAATGTATGTAAATGTATGTAAAAATTGAGATGTACAAATAATATTGCTCCATATGTTAATAAATAAGTTCTTTAGATCTTATATTGCATTATTGATCGAATTATGAAGAGAGAATTCTCTAAACTTGTTCCTGTGCGACTCATTTGTGTCATTTGAAATGTTTATGTGATTGTATAGTTATATGGTACATGATAGAAAAGATCCTGTCCAGACGTCCGGACAGGAGCCGCCGTCCGGCCGGCGGCGTTTGGCCGCCTTCCCGGTGGAATTTTTTGATGAAATTTTTATGGCATGTTCTCCATCAAGTCTAGTTTATCCACAAAAAAATTCAGCCAAAAACTCAATCGGGAAGGTCGTCAAATGATTTTTGCAAGTTAACTGGTCCGGAATATGTATTTTCCGGACCAGTTAACTTGCAAAAATCATTTGACGACCTTCCCGATTGAGTTTTTGGCTGAATTTTTTTGTGGATAAACTAGACTTGATGGAGAACATGCCATAAAAATTTCATCAAAAAATTCCACCGGGAAGGCGGCCAAACGCCGCCGGCCGGACGGCGGCTCCTGTCCGGACGTCTGGACAGGAGCATTCCTCTGGTACATGATTGCTTGATTGAGAATAGTAGCTATCTCATATCCTTGGACATTAGTAAGGGCTTGTTTTATTGTTTACATGTGAAAACTTTGCTTCCATGATTGCATAATACTCTAGTAGAATTTATGGAAACAACTATTTTACATGTATAATGCTGAGTAAAATAATTAACACTATTTAATACTCCGTAATAGTTCATTAATGAGTATTAAAAATAATATATCTCAAAATATTAACATCGCAATTATCACTAATGACCGTATTAAATTATATATCCATCAAAATTATTTCTCAACATATACTCGAATTATCTTGTTTAATTATTTTCTAAACAATAAATTACACTTTTTGTCCTACTAATTTAGGTCAATTTCATATTAAGATCACATCTTTCACTTTATCCACTTTTGATACATGACTATTATGTATTCGCCGGAAAGGGACCATTAATGGTTTAAAAAACATTAGTAAGATCAAAAGTGTATAAAATGAAAGAGATTGATTAAATGTGAAATTGACATTAAACTCGTAGGATTAAAAGTGAAATTGATGTTTTTCTAAATAATCTTGAAATTCCGTAATGAGAACCTTAGCCGACCCAACTATAGTATATTAATTGACTTTATGCATTTTTAAAAAAATTACACCCAAAGTCGTTGGATTGTTTTATAAAAAACACGTAAAGTATTTTACCAATATCTCTAACAGTATTTTCTGTTTTATAAAAAGTTGTACAAATTATATTAAATAATTTAATTAAATGGTGTAACCTTTTGCGGTAAATACTTCAGATACAAAATAATTATTTCAAAACATACTAAAACGCTCTCTGAAGATAAAAGCGGTTGCATTATTTACATACTTCCTTAAAACTTTGTCATCTTTCCTTTTTGGGATGTCCTAAAAAACGTTGTCACTTTCGATTTTAATCAATTATTTTGTGGTTTATGTTATTTCTCTCTCCCCTGCACAAACCTCAACCACACAGTTTTCACTTTATTACTCTTCGTGTCGGTCAACTTTGACAAAGTTTTAAGGGACAGAGGTAGTATATTGTATTTAAAAGGATCAGATAGGGCCTCGAACTTACATAAAAGTCAAATAAGCCCTTATATAGGAGACTCTGTCCGGCCGTCGCCATTTAAGGCGGTTCCTGGTGGAATTTTTTGATGAAATTTTTTGAACATCTTATTCATTAAGTCTAGTTTACTCATACCAAATTTCTGCTAACAATTCAATCGGGAAGACATTCAAATGAATTCTTGAACCAAAAGCAAAAACAATTTCAAACACTCCTTAAATGTACATATCTGGCAATCTTTATAATGCATGAATTCAAGTGATAAATTCAAAATAATTGAAGTATTGTTATAAAATGGAAGGAAATAAGCAGAAGATCAGGGAGAGAAAGTATAATCTGAATACTTAGTGAGAAAGATGTTATTAGAAGTGTGATAATGGTGTTGTAATGGTGTGTTAATTACAATGAGAATGACTCCTATTTATAGGAGAAAGTGTGAGCTCAATGAGATTAGGAGATCATTGTGAGCCACACATTTATCACCTTGAAATCACAATTATGATTTCCTAATTATTTATGTAATGGTGATAATAATTCCTAATCAGGAATAGTTAGAAGATGACTAATTCAATAATATTTCAACACTCCCCCTTGAATGGTCATCTTCTAATTATTCTGGGGTATTAGTTTCATAGTATTATAATGTACTATCTCGTTAAAAACCTTTGTCAAGAAAAACCCAGTGGGATAAAAACCTGACGAAGGGAAAAAGAGTGCAGTGCATTATATTACTCCCCCTCAATTTAACATATATCTCGAAGACGATACATTCCAATTTTATGGACCAGTTCTTCAAATTTCTTCGGTGCCAATGACTTTGTGAACAAATCAGCAGGGTTGTCGCATGACTTGATTTGTTTGACATCAACCGTTCCGTCATTCTCAAGATCATGTGTGGAGAAAAGTTTTGGTGCTATATGCTTTGTTCTGTCCCCTTTGATGTAACCTCATTTGATCTGAGCTATACATGCTGTATTATCTTCATAAATCACAGTAGGATTAGAAGTAAAAGATTTTATACCGCATTCATTTTGTATGTGCTGGATCATTGATCTCAACCAGACACACTCACGACCTGCTTCATAAAGAGCAATTAATTCTGCATGATTTGATGATGTTGCAGTTAATGTTTGCTTCATTGATCTCCATGATATAGCGGTATCACCATAGGTGAATAAATATCCTGTTTGTGATTTTGCCTTTTGTGGATCAGACAAGTATCCTGCATCCGCGTAGCCAATTAAAGTGGCATTTGCACCATTCTTGAAATACAATCCAAGATCGATTGTACCATTGAGATATCGGAATATATGTTTGACACCATTCCAATGCCTTCTTGTTGGGGAAGAACTGTACCTGGCTAATAAATTTACAGAAAAAGCAATATCTGGTCGAGTATTATTAGCCAAATACATTAATGCTCCAATAGCACTTAAATATGGTATTTCGGGACCAAGGATTTCTTCATCATCTTCACAAGGTCGGAAAGGATCATCATGCACATTGAGAGATCGAACCACCATTGGAGAATTGAGCGGATGTGCTTTATCCATGTAAAATCGCTTCAAAAGTTTCTCGGTATAATTTGATTGGTGGATGAAAATACCATTTCTCAAATGTTCAATTTGAATGCCGAGACAAAATTTTGTTCTCCCAAGGTCTTTCATTTCAAATTCTTTCATGAGATATTTTGCAGTATTTTCAATTTCATTAGGAGTTCCGATTATATTCAAATCATCAACATATACTGCAATTATGGCGAATCCTGATTCGGATCGTTGAATGAAAACACATGGACTAATAGGATCATTTTTATACCCTTCTTTAATCAAATATTCACTAAGACGGTTATACCACATGTGTCCAGATTGTTTTAATCCATATAATGACTTGACATTCATGTTATTTCCATGTTTATATTTGTGCTTTTGATTAGTTTTGAGTGATTGTTACTCTAGAAATTACACACTTTTGGTGTAATTGTTTAGTTTGTAAAATGTTTGTAAATTATTTAGATTAGGTTGGTTCTGAGCTCAAACAGGTCCAAGACCACTCTAGGGACCATTGGTAAACATCACAAATGGAAGGCAGGTGCAAAGATTTCAAGAAAAGATGAAGATTCTGATTTTTGGTAGTGTACCCGGTCGAGTATGCTCTATACCCGATCGGGTAAGTGGCTGAAAAGTCAAATCGAATCAACCCGGGAACAAGGCAACATGCAGGAAGATTTTTAACTCGATCGCGTATCTATACCCGATCGGGTAGCCGACATACCCGATCGGGTATGACCCCAGATTTTCAGTTTCGAGGAAACTAACCCTTACCCGATCGGTTGAGCTGAAAACCCGATCGGGTACACGACCCTGCAGGCCTAAAAAGCCTATAAATACACCCCATTTCCTCCACAAGAAAGACACCAATTCCTTTATACTCTTAAGCTCAGTTTAGAATAGCATTTCTCTATATTTCTTTTAGCATGTTTAGTCTCCAAATGAGGAGCTAAACTTCCATTTCTTGGTTTTGCTCTTGAAGCTTGTTGATTATTAAAGTTGTGAGTTATTTTCTTACTTTCTCCTTTTGATTATTAATTCTTCCCTTAATCTATCTCTATATTAATGTTGGAGGGTGGCTAAGTGACGATTAGTTAACGTTCCAACATTGATTATTACTAGAAACGATCAACGAACCGATGGTTAAACGTTGATGGTTTCACAAGTAAGTAACTTCGGTTTATTAATGCACGGTCGTGGTTAATAAACTTAAGAGGGATTAATTCTGTTGGTTAAACCGAAACCGTTGTGTTGAGGTTATCAATCTCAATTGATTTCATCAAGGAGTTAAAGAGGTTAAATGCTACTATTAAATCGGTATACGGCGTTGTTCTATATTTGGTTAATAGTAAGGGTTATTAATGAACGGTCGTTGTTAATAACTACCCTCGATGAATTGGATATACTCCTCGATTGAGTATTCGAGAGGGGATAAGTTATAGATATAACAATGATCGACTAAAATATATCAACAAGTGGAAAGTAGCAAGACCAAGTCCCTTTTATTCTTGAATTTAATCCCATATAACTCGTTCATCTTCGTGTTTAATTTAATTAAATCACTCAACAATCAAAACCCCCCCTTTATTTACTATTTATATAAAAAGAAAGTTATTTCTTTCCCTGTGGATACGAACTCTACTACGCTATACTACGTATAAGTGTTAGTATTGAATTTATTTTGAGTGCACTCACGACAAAGTGCACGTCAAATTTGGCGCCGTTGCCGGGGAAAGGCAATTATTTTTCTTTTTATTTTATTTCAAGAAAAATCAAAAAAAAAATATATATATACATGGTTCAAAGTATAAAGATTTCTATTTCTGCTGAGCTTTGTAGTACATGGTAAAATATCGTTCACTGAACGAAATCACATACCACTCAAACCCCGAAATAGAACGAACTCTCGAGCGGTTGAAAAATAAATTTTCAAACTCCGACTCGGGAGAATCATCAAGCACTAGTTCTCAATCTAGTGAAACCGAAGAGCCAATCACCATGGCTCATGAAACGAGAACATTAAGGGAGCTCACGGCTCCAAATCTAAATCAACAACCCCTTTGTATCACTTTCCCAACTCTTGATACGGGGGTCACATTCGAGCTAAAATCTGGGCTCATCCATCTACTCCCATCTTTCCATGGCCTACGGGGGGAAGATCCGAACAAACACCTGTCGGAGTTTCATATTGTGTGCACAAGCATGTGCCCCAATGGCGTGTCCGAAGAGCAAATCAAGCTGAGAGCTTTCCCTTTTTCTCTAAAAGACACCGCCAAGGACTGGCTATTCTATCTTCCTTCGGGGAGCATCAACACATGGGCTCAAATGAAAAAGAGCTTCCTCGACAGGTATTATCCCGCATCTATCTCTTCAAGTCTCAAAAAGCAAATCAGCAACATTGAGCAAGCCGATGATGAGACCTTGTACGAATATTGGGAGCGCTTTAAAAAATTATGCGCTAGCTGCCCATATCATGGATATTCGGAACAAGATCTCATCCTCTACTTCTATGATGGGCTTGTTGATCAAGATAGACGCATGGTGAATGCGGCATGTGGAGGGGGTATTGTCAACAAAACCCCTTCTCAAGCAAGGGACCTCATCTCCGAGTTAGCCGAAAACTCGAGGCATTATAATGGGAGGTCATCATCAAAAAGAGTTATGGCAGCGGAATCCAACAATTCGTTGGAAAGTCAAGTGGCCGGCTTGACTTCTTTGGTCAAAGATTTTCTTTTGAATCCAAAAACCCAAGAAGTCAAGGTCTGCGGCATATGCTCAACACAAGGGCATCCCACCGATTCTTGCCCAACATTACAAGAGGAGAACCCCGAGCAAGTCAATGCTTTGGGTTTCCAAGGTCAAAGAAGATATGATCCTCACGGCAACACTTACAATCCGGGGTGGAGGGATCATCCCAATTTAAGGTACGGAAACTCTCAACCCCCTCAACAATCAAACCCTCCTCCTCAACAATATAAACAACAAGGTCAAACATCGAACTCAAGCATGTCCACCGAAGACATGATTCGATCACTAGCCATGAACATGGCTACGATGCAACAAAGTGTGACCCAATTCCAAGAAACAACCAAATCAAGCATCCACAATTTGGAAAGTCAAATAAGCCAAATCTCAAATGCCGTGAGTAGGCTTGAAGCTAAGGATTCAGCAAAACTCCCATCTCAAACGGAGCCGAATCCAAGGCAACAAGCTCACGCGGTCACTTTGAGAAGTGGCAAAGAATTGGTTATGGCTAAAGCAAAAGCAAAGAACCATGTTGGAGAAGAAGAGGAGGATATCTTGGTGCCAAGCACAAATCCTCAAAATGAAGAAGAAAAAGAGGAGGAAATCACACCTCAAAGAAAGTTTCCACCGCTCGATTCATACGAGCCGGTGCCACCTTTCCCGGAAGCTCTCAAGGACAACCGCAAATACACCAATGACAAAGATATCTATGAGACCTTCAGCAAATGTGAGGTAAATATCCCTCTTCTCAATTTAATAAAAGGTGTTCCTAGGTTTGCAAAGTTTTTAAAAGAGCTTTGCACAATAAAAAGGAAACACAAATTAAATGGCAAACATAAAATCCAAGTAAGCGAAAGAGTGTCAGCCGTCTTTCAAAAGAAACTGCCTAAAAAGTATAGTGACCCGGGAATGTTCACTATACCATGTAAACTTGGAAATTCTAGTTCTTCTAGGGCTATGTTAGATTTGGGTGCATCAATCAATGTCATTCCATATTCTCTATATAAGTCCCTAGAGCTAGGCCCTTTACATGAGACGGGGGTTGTTATCCAACTTGCCGATAGGTCCAACGCTTACCCAAAAGGTGTAGTGGAGGATGTACTCGTCATGGTGGATAACCTAATCTTTCCCGCTGATTTTTATGTTCTTGAAATGGAGAACGATAAAAATGCAGTCCCAATTTTGTTAGGAAGACCCTTTCTAAAAACGGCCAAAGCAAAAATAGATGTTTTTAGTGGAGTATTGACTATGGAGTTCGATGGTGAAAAAGTCGAATTTAATATCTACGACTCCATGAAATACCCCACCGATAATCACTCTCTTTTTGCAATTGACACTTGCGATACTTGGGTCCAAGATATATTTGAGGTTGAGGGGAAAGACACGTTACTAAGCTCAATTGAAAACGACATAGAGGACTTCACTATGGAATACTCTATGTCAAACAACATGAAGATGATGGTGGCGGAGTTAAATCAACTCCCACTTTTGCCACCGGGCTCTAAAGCCCTCCCACTAACCATTCCGAGCGAGAAGCCGCTACCATCTGTTTTGCAGGCACCGGAGGTGGAATTAAAACCACTTCCTGAAAATTTGAAGCATGTGTTCTTGGGCGAAAATCACACTCTACCGGTGATTATCTCAAACTCCCTAGCCCAAGAACAAGAGGAAAGATTGATTGCGGTCCTCAAGGAGTACAAATTGGCCATTGGATGGTCTATTGCCGACATCAAAGGCATTAGTCCATCCACATGCATGCACCGGATCCTACTTGAAGATGAGGCCAAGGCGGTGAGGCAACCGCAAAGAAGATTGAACCCACCCATGATGGAGGTGGTGAAAAAGGAGGTGATCAAACTACTTCAAATGGGAATCATTTTTCCCATCTCCGATAGCAAATGGGTGAGTCCAACCCAAGTGGTGCCAAAGAAGACCGGAGTGACGGTCATTGAGAACAAAGAAGGCGAGATGGTACCCACCCGAATTCAAAACGGGTGGCGAGTTTGCATTGACTACCGAAGGCTCAATTCGGTAACTAGAAAAGACTTCTTTCCATTGCCCTTCATTGATCAAATGCTAGAGAGGCTAGCGGGGCACAAGTTCTATTGTTTTCTCGATGGTTACTCCGGGTATTTCCAAATACCAATAGCCCCGGAGGACCAAGAGAAAACAACCTTCACATGTCCATTTGGCACTTTTGCCTATCGACGAATGCCCTTTGGATTATGCAACGCACCGGGTACCTTTCAAAGATGTATGATGAGCATCTTCTCCGAATTTGTGGAGGTATTTATGGAGGTATTTATGGATGATTTCACAATCCATGGGGACTCTTTTGACACTTGCCTCTATCATCTCACTCTTGTGCTCAAAAGTTGCATTGAATCCAACCTTGTTCTCAATTCTGAAAAATGCCACTTTATGGTGGAACAAGGGATTGTTCTTGGGCATGTGATCTCCTCAAAGGGCATTGAAGTGGACAAGGCAAAAATTGATGTCATCCAAACACTCCCGTACCCAACAAATGTACGGGACATCCGCTCCTTCCTTGGTCACGCCGGTTTCTATAGGAGATTCATCAAAGACTTCTCAAAAATTTCATCTCCTCTATGCAAACTTTTGCAAAAGGAGGTTGAATTTGATCTCAATGATGAATGCAAAGAGGCCTTTGACACTTTGAAAGCAAGATTGGTGACTGCCCCAATCATACAAGCTCCCGATTGGTCTCTTCCTTTTGAGATCATGTGCGACGCAAGTGACTATGCGGTGGGGGCTGTTTTAGGCCAAAAGAACGGGAGGGCTGCTCATGTCATCTACTATGCCTCATCAACCCTCAATGAAGCCCAAAAGAACTACTCCACCACCGAGAAGGAAATGCTAGCGGTGGTCTTTGCTTTGGAGAAGTTTCGTTCCTATCTTCTTGGAACGAAAGTTATTGTGTACACCGACCACGCCGCTCTTAGATTCCTTATGACAAAGAAGGAAGCCAAACCAAGACTCATTCGATGGGTCCTTCTATTGAGTGAGTTTGACATAGAAATCAAAGACAAGAAAGGAGCGGAGAACTTGGTGGCCGATCACTTAAGCCGCTTGGTTCCAAACAAAGAAATCGAAAGTCTCCATACCAATCTCATAAAAGGCGAATTTCCAGACGAGACTCTCTTCTCCATAAAAGTCATACAACCATGGTACGCAAACATTGTAAACTTTCTTGTTTCCGGCAAATTTCCCCCACAATTCTCAAAATCTCAAAAAGAAAAATTAAAAATGGACTCAAGACTCTATGTGTGGGATGACCCATATTTGTGGAAGCATTGTAAGGATCAAATAATCCGAAGATGTGTCCCTGAATATGAGATAGCTCACATTATAGAATTTTGCCATTCTTATGCTTGTGGGGGGCATTTCGGCCCGAAACGGACGGCAATGAAGATACTTGAAAGTGGCTTTTGGTGGCCAAGTCTTTTCCGGGATGCACATGGCTTTTGTCAATCTTGTGACAATTGTCAAAGAGCGGGCAACATTTCAAGAAGAAATGAGATGCCACAAAACCCCATGCTTTTCTGTGAAATTTTCGATGCATGGGGTATTGACTTCATGGGACCTTTCCCGAACTCTCAAGGTAACATCTACATTCTCCTTGCGGCGGATTACGTCTCTAAATGGGTGGAAGCTAAAGCCACCAAAACTGATGATGCCAAAGTGGTGGCTAGCTTCCTAAAATCACACATATTTTCTAGGTTTGGGGTTCCTCGAATTTTAATAAGCGATCGAGGCACACATTTTTGTAATAAAATTGTGGGATCCCTACTAAAGAAATATGGTGTGACTCACAAGATCTCCACTGCTTACCACCCTCAAACCAATGGCCAAGCGGAAACCTCAAATAGGGAGTTGAAGTCTATACTCCAGAAAACAGTAAACCCAAATCGGAAGGATTGGAGTATACGCATTGATGATGCACTATGGGCATACCGAACCGCCTACAAAACTCCAATCGGTATGTCCCCTTATAGACTTGTGTTTGGGAAAGCTTGTCATCTTCCCGTAGAACTCGAACACAAGTCGTATTGGGCGGTAAAAGAATTCAACCTCAATCTTGACGAGTCCGGTTTGCATAGGAAACTCCAATTGCAAGAATTGGAAGAACTCCGTTTGGATTCTTATGACAACGCGGAGATCTACAAAAGAAAGACGAAGGCTTGGCATGATAAGATGATCATAAGGAAGGACTTTAAACTCGATGACAAAGTCCTCCTTTTTCAATCACGCCTTCGTCTATTTCCAGGAAAGCTGAGATCTCGTTGGACAGGACCATACAAAGTGGTCAAAATATATCCACACGGGGCGGTGGAAATTGAAGACATGGGGACGGGAGAAGTACTCAAGGTGAATGGACAAAGATTAAAACCCTTCTTTGAGGGTTTTCAACCCAAAAATGTGGAAGTCATGGACCTTTCTGAACCGGTCTATGAGTGAAGAATAACGAAGATATCGTCAAGCCACGACGTTAAATAAAGCGCTTCTTGGGAGGCAACCCATGCAAGGTTTGTTTTCTTTTCAATTTTTTTTTTTTTTTTTTTTTCGAATGTCAACTTTTGGGGAGAATGGGAGGAAATTCTCAAAAAGAAAATGAGGGAAAAATAATATTTTCGAGGCACGGGGAAACCCCCGATCGGTCATCATCAGTTACCCGATCGGATCCATGCCGAAAAGAGGATTAAAATGGACCGAACAAG